AAAAAAAAAAAGCTCCAGCTCTGCAAAGCTCCAAAAACATACCTACAATGCACTGCCGTTTCAAACTGAGATGAACACTAGTAAATACCTGCAACTTTTATTCATTTTCACACATATTATGATTACAGGGACAGATTATCCATTAATCCTCATAATGCACTCAAATCTGTTAACTATTTTCAAAATAGCATACAGATTTGAGTTATTTTATAAAACAGTCACAACATATTATACTTTTCAGCGAAAACCATATTGTGTCTGATCAGCAACTTTTTTTTTATTAATGAGCATTAATGAGTGAATGTGAAAAGAATTCAACGTTTTGAATATTAATTGTGACCCTGGACCACAAAACCAGTCTTAAGTCGCTGGGGTATATTTGTAGCAATAGCCAAAAATACATTGTATGGGTCAAAATTATTGATTTTTCTTTTATGCCAAAAAATTATTAGGATATAAAGATCATGTTCCATGAAGATATTTAGTAAATTTCCTACTGTAAATATATCAAAACGTAATTTTTGATTAGTAATTTGCATTGCTAAGAACTTCATTTGGACAACTTTAAATGCGATTTTCTCAATATTTAGATTTTTTTGCACCCTCAGATTCCAGATTTTCAAATAGTTGTATCTCGGCCAAATATTGTCCTATCCTAACAAACCATACATCGATGGAGAGCTTATTTATTCAGCTTTCATATGATGTATAAATCTCAATTTTGAAAAATTGAGCCTTATGACTGGTTTTGTGGTCCAGGGTCACAATTAAATAAAAGTTAACAAATTACATTTATTTTACTTGCATAAAACTTTACTTTAAGATGGCAAAATTATAAATTTTTCATCCTGCGCTGGTTTATGAACGGGCATACAGATTTATGTTCATCGACAAAAATCAGTCCCAAAAGTGTGTGAGATATGAGGAAATGGATAAATATATTTTACAAGTTTATTTTTACAGTCTTAAAGCATTTGAAAAGTTTTGTTGCCTTAGTAAAAACTATGCATTTTTAAGATTTTTTTTTGATGTATTCCAGGTCAAAACACACCAAATGCATTATTAGGGACGATAAAGACTTAAGGCCCGTTCACACAAAGATTAATAACTATATTAGACTTGTAAAAGCAAGATAAAATGGCATGGTTGCTTCAACAAATGTGTTTTTATTATCTTACATTTACTTTTGTTAACATTATCGGTTAGGTTTATGTTAGGGTTTAGTGCAGGAGCTGTATTATTTTCAAACATGATAGCATTAATTATTTAGTGCCACTCACTGGACATTTCTGAACTGCCGCTATACATTCACCAACCGATGCAAAAAAAATATTAACTGATTCACTTTCATCTGCTTAAAAATGTAACATGATTTTAGCACCACTCACTGGATATTTCACTTTGAAAGTGTTGTAAAATGCGCAAGATGTGACAATGTTTTGTAGAAATGTCACCAAAGGCATGCTTTCCCGATGAGCCTGGATTGGTGAATCGATGGTAGAATGACCAAAGCATCTACAAATGACTAAAAATGGTCAATGTTGCATATAATAAAGTGTACCAATAATCAGTTATACAAGGTGTCATAATATATAGACCATAACATTGTCATATCTTTATTGTGGAACAGAAAATGAGAAATCAAGCTCACAGTTGAATTGAGCTCCTTCCATTAGCAGCTGTCACAGTCTGTGCAGCTTCTGTTTTATAACATTATCTCATGATGAGTGTGAATGTTCCTCACACGCAGAGACCAAACAGTCGCATACGTGCACCACTCACAGTTTGTCTTTTTATCTCTTTGACAGCCAATTATTGGCAGGGATGTATCCGGTTGGTCTGCCGTATTGTCAGAGACAAGTCGCGAATTAAGTCTTTGAGCTCATCTGAGCCTCGGGCTGCTGTACAGAACAGATGGCCTTTCCCCTTCTGGCGTGTCAATTTTTTAAAAGAACAGTGGGGAGATTTTATTGGCTTTATCCACTATTGCTTTATAGGACTATATTTTCCCAACTTGAGAAGCCAGTATGTATCTCTTCTCAGCGGCACATTGAAATGAATATATTTGCAGACGCCATTGCAAATTAAGAGGAAAACAGGGCTTTATTGACCGACTCTAAGTCAGTCTGTGAGTTTTCAGTTTTAAGTCAATCTGTGATATTGTTAAATAACTCATTCAATTAACAACTTCAAATATTGTCTGTTTGCATATGCAGTCCTCACAAAGACCACACAGAACAGAAAATGCAAAGATAAACCAAGAAGTAGTTAAAAAAGGCAACAGATTCATTTAAACATGCTTTCAATGTTTTTTTACATTTTGCCAAATTGGTAGCTAATTCATATGAATCTGAATGATCTAATTTGTATGTTCACACGATCTGCTTACACCTCACTGACAATAGTAGAAAAAGTGTTTTGTAATACAATATGAATACGATAAATACATTGAACCAAACATATTTTTTAAGCACATAGTTAAAGACATCCATAAAAAAGTTGGGCCTTATTTTATTTTAAATGTAAATTTGTATCGATCGTGACGATTGTTGAGTTTTCATATTGGTAACCATTATGCCAGCCACAACAGCATTGCAATAATGGAAGATTAATTTTACTTACTTTTTAATTTCACTTTTGTTTACTCAACAAAATGAATTTATCTTTATTCAAGTCATGTTGTTCATTTGAGAATTTAATTAAAATGTTACATTTTCAATTTCCAAATTCCCCGGACACTTCTGATGCAAATGTTGATTATATTCCAAATAAATCATGATAATGCAGATTTATAATCATTAGTTCACGACTTGATTAAATCTTCTGGTCTGAGTCTTTCGTTTCAGAAAACCAACTGTGTTCTGGAGTAGAACAGAATAGAATAGTTCTTTCTTTATTGTTTGTCTTATGATCCACTTGCCAATCTTTAAAACACAATATCTGCCTGTTTTGTTGCATCTCCTGTAGCATCTGTCCTTGAAATGACTACTTCAAGCCTTACTACTTAAGTCCTTAAAACAGAGATTTATGAGGATGAGAATGTGAGTAATAATTTTGATAGTTTTATTTTAGTATCTATTGTTTCAATGCATATGTAATGAGAAAGAGTGCTGGCAACATTGATTAAGCAGCAATGTCACCCTGGAGTGCAGCTAAGCAGCCAGGCACTGCAGACTCAACACTTTATCATCTTCACAAAAAAATAAGAAAAAAAAACAGTTCTGAATTACAAATTACGGAGTTATTAGGTGCATTGGAGGTGCGAGTGGTAATTTATATGCCACTCAGACAATAGCACTCTGTTTACAGAGTGTGGAAGCTTTGAATCTGCTGTTTATTGAGGCATAATGGGATGGCAATGTAAACAGATTATATGCCGATTTTGCACTGGGCTTTAATGGCTGGGGTTTGTTTTAAAATCTCTATAGTGGCTTCTCAAATAAAAACACACTGAAAAACATTCCATGACTGACTGCTGTTCAGTCAGTTTGATTGGGACTGATAACCATACATGAGATGAGCGCGTTTTGAATTTATTCTCAATTAGAGTGACGGAGCAGTGCAATTACAAAGAAACAGCAAGCAACACATGAAATTAAACGTGACATTTAAAGTAGAAAAATGTAAATAGTGTTTTCTCGAAAAAATACTCCAATAAACTTTGTTTTAATTACAGTGCAAGTCACTAAATGTGTGTGAGAATATCAGAGAAAGATCCGAGATGATTATTAAAATAAAATAAAAAAATCAATAAATCAAACAATCAAAGTTTGCATGAAATTGCAAGTAAATCTAATAAATAAACAAACAATCAGCAAGTAATACACTGAATTAAATGTGATATTTAAAAGTAGAAAGACTAAAATAATATTTTCTTGTAAAACATACCATTAATCCTTATTTTATTTCCAACTTTGCAATCCGTTCCTAATTTGCGGCTGTTTACCACAAACACAATATGTATCCATTATTTTGCTTTCAAATCCAAACGTTGTTACTGAAAATGCTTTTTCATCATTGTGATTCCCCTTCAGGAACTCGCGCTGCATTTGGGATGCTTTGGGCTTTAACCTTTAGCATTCCTGTAAAATTTGCCTAAAACGCCTAAAAAAGGCATACCCAAAGTAAATTGCATGCTGTTCTTCAACCATTTGGAGTACATACATGGTTTTGGTCTCTTTTGAAAGGTGACACTCTGAGGTGTGTTCCTCAACAGTCAGAATCACTGTAAGTCTTATTGGTATTGAGTAATAGAACTTTGAACACACTGAAAAATAAAATAAAAAATCCGCCTACATTTTGTTTTGATGCCTGCAGATGACTGTAGCTGGGAGCTATTAGCTGGAAATACATTTGGATCACAGAATAAAGTCTTACCAAGCAACATGTTTCAAATTTGATAACAATACCTTAGAAAATGAGTGTTTTACACATGTTTATCTAAATTAATGTCTAGGCGCTTCCCAAAAAAAGCCACTTGGAGACACATAAAATGCTGTAATTCTTGAATGCTTTAATGTACAGTCATAATTGTGGGCTCTAATGAAAGCTTACACTTAGACCTATTCAAAAATCTATTCAGATTTACTGTCAATAATTGCTGACACATAGTAACTGAAGCATAAACACATTATGTAGTGGTTTTTACGATTTTTTTCAGAGGTGCTGTCATCATGTCCCTCAATATATGGCTTTTTGCTGACTGGCTCCCAGACTTCACTCGATTCAATGTCAGATGATTGTCTGTGATATAAAAAAAAAAAGCAACACACACAACATTAGTTAGTAGGAACACCTCAAATCACAAACACATATAACACGCACACACACACACACACACAAGCAAAATGTTTCAAATTTGATAACAATACCTTAGAAAATGAGTGTTTTACACATGTTTATCTAAATTTATGTCTAGGCGCTTCCCAAAAAAAGCCACTTGGAGACTCCAAATGACCTTTTGTAACCAACGACACAAAATGCTGCAATTCTTGAATGCTTTAATGTACAGTCATAATTTTGGGCTCTAATGACAGGTTACACTTAGACCTATTCAATTTCTTATCCAGATTCACTGTCAATAATTGCTGACACATAGTAACTGAAGCATAAACACATTATGTAGTGGTTTTTACGATTTTTTTCAGAGGTGCTGTCATCATGTCCCTCAATATATGGCTTTTTGCTGACTGGCTCCCAGACTTCACTCGATTCAATGTCAGATGATTGTCTGTGATATAAAAAAAAGCAACACACACAACATAAGTTAACAGGAACACCTCAAATCACAAACACATATAACACGCACGCACACACACACACACACACACACACACACACACACGACAGAAGTTAGCAACACCACAAATACATACCTCAATAAATATATAATTATACAGTAAATGTATAATATACATAATTATATGTAAAATATATATAAATATAATTATATAATATAATAAAGCACTTGCTGAGAGCCGCGTCTCCTCCATGCAAACAAAGCCATATCCGCTCATCTGCTTCCATGGATGAAATATCTCTCGCTCCGGCAAAAAACGCTTTTATTTTCCGAACAATTTTATTGTTATACATTGCATAACAACTTCTTAGAACAAACGGGTTGTTTTTCGCGTTCTCTTTGATAGTTTTTGACCGCTAACCAGCTCTTCCCGTTGTCTCTCATGGAGCGCTGATTACGCGCAGACGCAGCAGTCTCTGTTGTCCTTTGCGCACACACTTTAGCGCATGATATGTTAAACCTGCCCACTCAAAACACATATTATTCTGTTCAGAAGGTCATTGGCTACCAGAAACGACAGTCATTTGCAAACTCTGATGCAATTGGATCGATCTACAGTCGATCAAAGAGAGGCTGTACCATTCTTCAATCCTAGATGCTCGTTGGCTATAGCTGCCTGTAAACACCTCATAGATGCAGCTATTGGCTCAAATAAGGTGTCAATCAAAAGGCCAGAGTTCAGCTGCCATTTTAACATCTGTTTCTCCATGTTGTTTACATGCAAACATGAGCGATTCTTCAGAATGCGCTGAAGCGGTGAGCGCTCCGTCGGCTAATCTGAAATGATACTCCTGCACTCCGTGGATGTTTATCAACATATAAATGTGTTATGGACTAAATATTTCCCTGAATTGGATAGTCTGGACCCTTTACAGTGTAACTACACCATTTTTGTTGGAATATAATGAACTAGTGGACTAACAAGGGGCTTCATAGGTGAGTTCCTTCAGTTTTGTTATTGTTTATTTGGTTGTTGTTGGTCTGACAAAGACACTGATTGTACCTGCTGTGTTGATTGTATCCTAAAATGTTACAATCATTCGAATCACAAGAATCTCAGCTTTCCAAAGATATATGACACGTTTACCTTTTTTTTTTTTTTTTTTTGGTGTGTGTTTCACGAAGTTAAGCCTGAATGTATAGAGTGTACCGCGGGCGGAACACTGGATTGCTAACAGGTTAAAGCGCACCAAGTGTAAACAACGTTAGCTTCTGCTCTTCAGCAAGCACTCTGTGTTGCATACGTCTTCGAAGTGCATGTGAAGTGTGTGTGTCGTGCCAGTGCATGAATTAACCAGTCAATATGAAAGATGGCAAAGACAGTTACAGGCAGTGTTTCAGGTTGTGTGTTCCCCCCTGCCGTCACTACATCATGAGTGGGGATACACACGCTCTGTGCCTGTCTGGGAGTGGAGCATGCATGTGCAGCTCTCAAGCAAGCTGACTGTGCGGAATGCGAATGCGGGCCGCTGCGCAGGCTCCGTTCCTGTCTGGCACTTTTTAAGGAGAGCGCACAGGCTCGCAGTCATCGTGGCTCAGGTCCCGCAGGTGCTGAGGCAGAACGGACACTTAGGTCATGGGGATCGCAGATGGATCTGGTGGAGAGGTTCTTCGTCCTCACCCACCAGATCCAGCACCCTCTCTCAGTGTTCGGAAGCTCGCTCTGTGGTTTCTTCCCCCCAGAGTAAAGGCACGAGGCTTCACCTGTCTTCCTCTGAGGAGGTTGATCTTGCGAGCCTCGACCAGGAAGAGACTGGAGACTCTTCACCCCAGTCCATCCAGTATGAGGATTTGTTGGAGGTGGTGACTATATGTGGCTGTAGGAAAATTTAAGATTGACTGGCCCAAGGAGAAGCAGGAAGACTATCTAAAAAGCAGACTGGATGAGTGCTTACTACACTCTAAGTTAACTCCTCCTCACCGGAGCATTAATTTCTTCCCTAATCTCAATGCTGAGGTTGCGAGATCATGGGAAAGGCCGTACCCTGCTCACATATTCAGCCCAAATGTCTCCAATTATTCCAACATCCTGGGGCTGAAGCAGCATGGCATGGTGGCCACGGACATCTCTGGTTGAACCTGTCTGATATGAGGGATAAGGGCTGGTTCTTCCTTTTAGATGACCCGCTTGCCCCTTTGGGCCTCTTCGGTGATGCACTGAGCTCGGTCGCCGAGCGGTTCCAGGAGGATAGGAAGCAGGCGGTGGTGTTCCAGCGTTACCTCCCCCGCCGGATCCATGTCTTAGGGGCTGCAGTAAGGGAGCAGCCTCAGCCATCTACCAGCTCCTTATAGAGGGCACAGCAGAAAAAAAGAGTTGAGGCGGCGCTCTCAGCCAAAAACAACTAGGGAGAAGGCGGATCTGCGGACTGTCATTCTCTCTAGGAAGGCTTCGGCGAAGAAGTCCTGACTCCGGAAGCGTCGGGCTTCCGAGAGCAACCCCCCCCCGGGGAAGAGCGGTGTACAGTGGTCGGTCCGAGACACCTTTGTCTCAGTGGGTCCTGCATACAGTGGAAAGAGGCTACAGAATCCAGTTCGGTTCTCGTCTCTCGTCTTTCAACTGGGTCACATTTACTGTGTTAAGCCCCAAGAAGGCTCTGGTGATGAAACAAGAAGTGGCTACCCTTTTGAGAAAAGAGGCTATAGAGTGTGTCCCTACACTCGAGAGGAAGTCCAGCTTTTACAGCCGATACTTCATTGTTCTCAAGAAGGATGGGTGGTTGCGTCCCATCATAGATCTGCGCCAACTCAACCGCTCAGTCAAGATGTTCAGATTCAAGATGCTGACTTTGAAACAGACTGTGATGCAAATCAGGTCTGAGGACTGGTTCGTCACCATATATTTGAAAGACACATACTTCCATGTCTCCATCCTTCCCAAACAGAGGAAGTTCCTGAGGTTTGCTTTCAGGGGCGAAGCATACCAATACCGCGTTCTTCTGTTCGGTCTAGCACTGTCACCCCGCAGTTTCCCCAAGCGTGTGGATGCTGCTTTGGCTCCTCTCAGACTCCAGGTTATCCGCATAGAAAATTACATCGACAACTGGCTGATCTTATCCCAGCTGGAGCAGATGGTGGTTCGGCATCGAGATGTCGTCCTCGTCCATATGAAAGAGCTGGGGTTGAGGCTGAACACCAAGAAGCTATGTCAGTCACTTTATGTAAAGCAGTTTCAGTGACTGTTGGGACTGATGGCAGGAGCATCCAACATAATACATTTTTACCTGCTGTACATGAGACCCCTGCAGTGGTGGCTCAGGACCAAGGCCGCGTGACCTTGATCATGTGATATGGGTTGCCCCTCAGGGAAAACCATATCACATGATAAAGGTC